ATCTCAGCTCACGTAGCGGCATTGATTGCTCCGCGAACGTGATCTCGGGTGCAAGGATTTCGGAAGATCGTAGGATGTTTGAATGATAAGTGAACTTTCGAATAAACACTTGTAAGATTCGAAAAAAGATGACTCCGAACTTGTTTCATATCACGATATAACTTTGATGTCTGTCGGGACCGTTCCTGTCTAACTTTGCCTGACGTAACATCGATATTTCAGGAAAGCGAAAGTACGTCGATTGATCTACGTGAGATAGTAAGAATTATTTTTTTACCGTACGGAATGGAACCGCAATGGAATTTTCAGAATGATCATGATGTATTAGCATCGAAAGATTTTAGAATGAATTTAGCGTCGTCAGTCTTCTCGGTGATAACAAAGAAAAGTATTTCAGAGGTTATCGCACTGATGGATTTCGTCACTTTCGCCTTCGGCATAACTGCAAATCATTCCAAATCCGCGAAATATTTTTTTTTCTTTAAACAGGAAATTCCGATTGCGCAATTCATTCGAACAATGTTGAAATAAACACGGGAATTGATTAATTAATTAAACTGCGTAAACCGATAAGAGACGACTAACCGGACGAAAATACATTCAGCAATAAAGATATAAATGCTTGCAAATAATCTTTAATTTTTTTTTACCCGTTTATCGTATCGTTCTAAATCTGTGCAAGAAAAACTTAGTACAAATATTTTTAAGCCTTTCATCTCAATAAACAAACAATTGTACGAATCGAAATCTCGGATCCGATAAAAATATTTGAATGCAGAAAATATATTTATTGCGAATAACAGGAAATCCTAAAAAAGCTACTGCAACTGACTTGTTTAATAATATGACTTCACTACGTCGCATATAAAAAAAAGTAGGATACTTTTTCAGATTTACATTTAAAAAAATAATTAATGAATCTTTTTATCGAATTTTGTGAATGCTTCGGATCCAAGAACCAATCACGTACTCTTTTTAATAATGTATGTATCTAATTGCATTGTACATATAAATAAGAGTGAGATATTTTCTTTTCGGATTTGCGTTTCAAAAAAATAATTATTGATTCTTTTTATCCAATTTTGCGGATGTTTCGGATCCAAGAACCAATCGCGTGTTCCTTTGGCGCGCCTGGTCGAATTTTTAATAAAAAATACATGGAGGAACGGAAAGAGCTGGTGGATATTTCTCGCGGTCAAAGGGCGGCCGAGAGTGGCGAGCGCCGTGTACGCGTGCATCTGCGCGCGGCTTACGTGTTGTACGCGAATGAACGGTAAAAATCATATCCATATAACCGAGAGGGTGGAAGGCACCGCACACCCCCCCCCCCATATTGGTTATATTTAAATGGGTTTAATGCCCCGACCGTACCCTCGATCGCTCGCCGACCACCCCGCAAAGAGCCGTCCTTTCTCTCTTTTCTTCCCTATCTCTCCGCTCTCTTCACTCATCCTCCCATCCCTATACGCCCTGTAGAGCACTCACTCTCTTCACCGGCTGAATCCGCGTCGCCTCCGACGCGAACCTCGCGCTTCGAAGGTTAAAGCACGCTGTCGATAAAAAGCAGCAAGTAGTGTGCCGCCGCCGGGTGGGTGCAAGAGAGGGTGCGAGGGAAACGGTGGTGAATGACAGAAAAGGAAAGGGTGAGGCTCTCGAGGGCCGGTGTCATTTCCATTCTCTTCTTCGTTCTTTCTCTCTTTTCTACCATCTTCTCTCCAGCACCCTTCCGTCCGGTTTCACTCTCGACAATTAGGTATATTTCGACCCACCCTCGACATTGTTTTCGCGGCATCTCGAGTGAGCTTTTCGCTCGAGATTCCTTCCGCGCGACGACGAGACGGCTTATCCTCCTCCAGTGCCTTTTTCCATCTCTTCGCGCGATATCGCGATGTTACGAAACTGGCGCGAGTATACGATCGAGAATTCAACTCGAGTTTCGTATGTGCCTTTTTAGATTATCAGAATAAATTGAAAGGATCAGTAAAACTGAGAGAAATAATAAAGTACGAGCGGCGATAAAAAAATATGATTGAATTTCTAACAATGAAAAATTAATATAAAGGAAATTATGCAGGGGGAAAGTTTCGTGTAAAATTTCTAGTTGGAATTAAACTGCAGATATTTATCTTTATATATTAATCAAATTTTTATGGAATCTGGGCGATAAAGAATCTCGTAAATAGATTTTTTAAAAGATAAATTACGACAAATGTTACCTACGTTTAATTATTTTTGTCACGTTTAGACGCGTCCCGTGTGTCAATCGCGCGTTACATTTCGAAAGAGAACTTACGTAGGAATACGTACATCTATTATATTGTCTACCTCGTATAACGACCCCGTTTAAATTTAAAATGTTATCGTATCGCGTGGTATACGTTGACATAATGTATAATAAGATGTGCGCGAGGTGTTAAAATGATTAGCATTACATGCGTTTCTCGCATCGTTGACGATTTAATGCGCGATGATCCAAAGTGAAACTTTCCACACCGATCTCACGATATAATGCATACGAATTGCAACTTGCAAAGTCGCGCGCGCGTGCGCGCAAACGTATCTCTATAAATCGCTTTTTATGGCGTCTGCGAAGTGACATAAAAATTTTTCGCTCGGTGTGCGAGCGCGTTTACTGAACGGCCATCTTTCGCACGTCCGTCGATTAAATAAACATGATCGCAGGCGTCACCATCGAGAGGAGATTCGCGCGGGATCGTGGCTAAAACTCGCCGCTCATCTCGAGAGCAAAGGATTGAAATGGAAAAAAACGCGCTCGCTGGGCGCGATGCTTGTCGACGCAACGAAAGGGATAGAATGAAAGGGGTAGAGAGGAGTGGCAAGGGGATGGAAGCCCGAACCAAATCGGCGGAGCGATCTGCCGCTAATCCGGGCTCGGCAAAACGGTATCGCATTTTTGCGCCGTTTTGCGGCTCTGGCAAAAGGGCGGAAAAAAATCGGTGCTCGCGGGAAAAAATCGGGCTACGGTCGCCGGCAGGG